CTGGGCGCGGCGAGCGCCACAGGCCCCGGGCCAGGTGTGGGCGTTGGCCTCCCGGGTGGACGTTATGCGCCTGCATCTCTGAGTGCTCACGCGTCCATCTGTAGGCTCGCGCAGCGAGGTCAGAGTAAAGGGCGTCCAGTTGGAGGACCGCGGCAGGTGCCTTAGCCCCGCTGGGTGGCTTCGTGCATGACGTTGGAGGGCTAGGCCACACGGTTTCCAGGACCACGATTCCACGGGGTCACGTTCTTTACAAATAGCCCCGCCCACAAGACCTTAGCGACCCGCAGAACAGCTCAAAGCGCAGGTGGGAGTGTTAGCCCACTGCTCTCTACACTGCACCCGAGAGACGAAGCACCCATGTGCCCTTCTTGAACCAGAGAAGAGCCTTAAGGAAGACAGAGCATGAGGGGTTGGCCTGCACTGCGCTGTGGGCTGGGAGGGCCATCTGGGATGAACCACACCTGGGCGCTCCTGAGTGAGGTGTGGAGGAAGGGGTACCCACCGACCCCAGCTCTCAGAACTCTCACCTCCTCCTCCTCTGGCTCCCTCTTTGCTTCCCCCTCGCCCTCTAAGCTAACGCACTCGAAAATCCCTGCCCCTTCTTCCAGATTCTAAAGGAAGAAGGCCAAGTAGCCAGGTGTGCGGGGCCTGGACTCCTAAACGCTTCAACAGCGACGCAGAGTGTAACGCCCTGAGGGAAAGCCACCAGAGGCCGCCAAAAGCTCTCCGCAGCGCCGCAGAGTCTGCAGTCAACCAAGCGTCTCCATTCTGAGGACGACCAGCTGAACCAGAACCAGCCATGGCCATGGCGAGATGCTGATACAAGTCTGTGTGACAGATGCATCACCTCGCAGCTCTGTGACCTTGGGGTATCATTAACCCTACTGAGATTGCAGGAAACTGAGGCAGTGGGGGATTAGAGCGTTTTGATCTCTCTGAAAAACAGATGCTGTATAAATCCAGTAATTGCCACTTACGAGTGTGTTCCCACAGCACGCAGCCTCACTGATGGCTGGCCGACACACACACCCACAGAATAAGAATTTATAAACGATTATTTTAAGGAGCACCCAATGTAACTTTTCCATTCCTATGTAATATTGATTTATATTAACACAAATCATTGCAATATGAAATTTAAAAATCGTCACTGCAATAATATTCTACATTACAAAAAACATATCCTATGCTGTAATGAGACTCATTACTTCAGGGAGATCGGCAAGCAAGCATTGATCAGAATCAACTGGCACTGGGACTTAGAAAGGCATTTGAGGGAATACTGGAGAATTGTGGGTTGAATTGTGTGCCCCCCCCAAGCTATTCTGGGGTCCTAGTCCTCAGGACCTCTGAGCGTGACCTCATTTAGAAACGGTCTTGTAGAGCTGACGAAGGTCGAATGTGGCCTTAAAGGGGAACCCTAGTCCAGTATGAGTACTCTCTTTATAAAAAGGGGGTGTTCGGACGCACCGATGCCCACACGTGAGGATGAAGGCACAGGCGGCGTGATGCCGCTACACGCCAAACCTGCACACCACGATCGCTGGCAACACCGGGGGCTGGGGGAGGGGCACAGCATGAACCAGGCTGCCAACGCCTCGATCTTGGCCTGCTGGCCTCAGGGCTGCGAGACAGTAAGGTTCTGTTTTAAGCTACCCGTTTAGGACTTATTTATACAAAGATACGGCATATTTATACAAATTTTAAATGCATGTGCTATTTCACCTGAAATTTCACTTTGTGGACGAAAAAGGGGCCACATATTAAACCTGACAAGCTCGGGGGAGGCCCACATGACAGACCCTACAAACTCAGAGACTAAAAGTAACCCCATAGGACAGTCTGAACATAAAATCCCTAACTGAAAGCGGGTCGCGGCGGGCAGTCACATCCCGGGCCTGTCGCTTTCTTGGCAAAGGTCAGTCTTTACCCGAAGTGAGCCCGCCTGTCATCTTTGTGCCTCTAAGATCACACATGTCTCTGAAGTGTCGGCGTGGCCTCCTTTTGCAGACCCCTGGGGACACGACCAGCACCAGAGCAGAGACCATGGAGCCCTCACTGGTACCCTGTCCCCCGCCCACCGTCTCCACGTGCCACGAACATTAACTCGCTCTCCCGTGCCCACCCACAGGAAAGACGGATGGCTCTCTATGTCGCCTTTTTATCCAATCCCAGCGATGGCCCCGCTTTGTTTTCTCCCAGCCCCTTGATCTACCACCACTGGACGTCACGGACCCCCCTTACGTCTCCTTATCTATTATAATGTGTAAAGTGAGCTGCAGAACAACCACTCTCCGGCGTGTTTTCTCAGCCCGTTGAGATTCTGCTTCCTGCCCGTTATTGTCAGTTTGGCTCACACGAACTCATGAGACTTTTTTAGGCAGGATGTTCTTTTGTCGACGGCGCATGAAAATGCCCCCACAGCTGCGTTCTCTCTGGGCACAGTGCCGCGTAAATGGAGCTGTCTCCTTCATCACTTTGACTACAACAAATATTGAACAACAGGAAGTCTACCAAAGAGGAGTTTTCGTAAGTAAAATGGAACACGTTTGTATAACTAAATACTATCCGGCCAGTAAAAAATAGCGACACATGTCATTTTCATATATATATGTATATGATGGAGGTTCAAAAGTAATTTTTTCCCTCCCATCTTCTAAGCTCTTCTAGCTGAGCTAATGATCAAATTGACATAGATGAACTGGAGAAAATGTCTATGATTTATTACTATGGATGTAGATCGGGGATCCATCACATGAGACCCGCAGAGGCAGTGAGCGCTGAGGTCTCTATGCCATTTTGGACAAGGGTGGAGGTGGGGCTTGAGATTTCGAAGGAGAAGTGAGCAATTCACAGGTGGATGAGAAAGAGAAGAGTTCCTGCCAGGCCACCCAGAGACAAGGGGACGGGGCGGTCGCATGGGCCCTGGCATGGGGCCTTCCCACCCGCCAAACCCGATTCAAATCCGCTGCAGTGAACATTCTCAGCGGCTGTGCCGAGGGACCCTTCGTGGAGCAGGTTCTGTCACCTGACTCTCTTGGGCCGGAAAGGGGAGGGTCCCGGGTTCTTTCTGAGTCTTTGGTTTCTTAATAACCAGCTTAAAATCAATATGCCAAAAGGCACTTTCTGGGGTGGCAGAACATATATAAATATGTGTGTGTGTGCAGGTATATATATTAGTAGGTAAAAAAGAAAAGTAAGCAAAAAGATAAAAACAAGCCAGATGCAAGCTGACGCTCTCACCTGAGTGAGAAAAAAACATACTTCCATTTGAGCAGTCAAGCCCAAAGGAGATCTGATTTTGAACCTTAACACAGCGCTTTGATGACAGGCATTTAGGAAGAGCTAAATAAACGGCGAGACCGAGACATTCCACGTTCTTAGGGAGGAGACTCGGTATGAAGAAGACGTCATTTCTCACCAAAACAATGCACTTCGATTCCAACGAGAAGCCCATCAGGTTGGGAGGGACCCCATGATACAGATGAACGGGAAAAGAGTCGAGAACAGCCAAAGTGGTTCTGAAGAAGGACCACGTGGGAAACTCATCTTTAGCAGAAGTTAAGACAAGTCTTATTATTAAGGACACTTAGACTTATGAAGTCTTAAAACTACAGCAGACAAGATAGTGCATATTAGCACAGAGATTGAGGCAAAGAAGCTAAATACAGAAAAAGCCAGGAACAGACACCTAGAAGTAGGTCACTGGAGGACAGATACAATAACCTTGTCATTTCTGTGGAAAATGCAATTGAACGGTGACTTAAAATCACTCTGCTCCAGGCCACAGCGACGTGCCGTGTGTTCTAAGGACTTGAAAGCCTTGCTTTTCTCCCCTAGGCTTTTAATGCACATGGTCTGAGTTCTGTTCCTACTTCCTGTCATAGAAAAACCCTCAGGAATAAGATGACCTCAGAATAAGTCCATAGGTCACATTCTCAACTCACGGGGCAAGTTTAGGGTTGACGCTGAGGCAGAGAAAGGACGTCCACCCACACTTCATCCCTGGCAGGCAGTTGCTGATGGCTGGCCCAGTTCAGCAGTGTTTCAAACTGAGCAAGATGCTTGAAATGCAAATACCAGTTTTCTTAAGTTCAAGTTGAGAGCGAACGACTTTGAATAATGTCGTAAGGGAAATTACTGACAGGACAAACAGATAACAAGAATAGAGGATTAAACAAAGGGGGAGAAGCAAACCGGGGACACTCCCCAAGACAACATTGATTTGCTTCACATGTTCCTTTCCTCAGGCGAGCCAGTACCCCAGTCCTAAACGTTTTGTGTGGTTCAGGCGTTTTAACAGCAACTCAGAGGCCCCTGCTTCCTTGAGAATGACTTGGGGGCTGGTGTGACTAATCCGACGTCACCCGGGTGGTTGCGACACAGCGCTGCTGTGTTCGGCCTTGTCTGTGCTCTGTGGCCGCGGGTCCCGTCCTTCACGTGACACGTCATTTTCCAAGTTGTAACACTTTAGAGCTCTTCTGTCGTTGGTTTCCGAAGCAGGCGTGTGACGTGTTCACAATCACTCTGGTTCGGATCAATTCGCATCGAGCTCCCGGGACAGGCTACATGTTTTGCTGCTGCTGAGATTCGAGGAGGAGTTGAGAGACCGGCTCGACAGGCGGGCGCTGAAGGTGAGGCCCGGCCGGACCGCGATGGGACGCCCGCTCTAGCCTGGGCTACAGAAGGGCTGTGCTGTCTCACGCGTGTGCTCGGGGAGGGCAGAGCGCAGTCCATCACAGGATGGTGGGGGCAAAGACTTTGCAGCGTGGGTGAGCC